ATAACGTATATTATTTATAAACTGCAGTATATATAAGCTGGCACGTGTCAACTTACTTTTATAGCACCTGGCACGTATAGCCCTGAAAAACTTAATCTGGATAAGGGTCCTCAATACAGTCTTACGGGAAAAGGTCACACAGAGAAACCTGATGACACTCCTGGTATGTGAATTTCAATCACTCATTGTCGAAGTAATTCTTTGACAATAAACAATTAATTTTGATTCTAAATAATTGGTAATTAACTTAGAAAAAGTTTCATTTGATGAGACAAAAAATATGTACATGCAGTTGAATGAAAAAATAAAAAAAAATGATTCTTAGCGCCAGGTACGTATTACCCAGAAAAAGTAAAATTGAATGCAACGCCGCAATTTACTTTTGGATTGAGGACATCAATCGAAAAAATAAGCGACACACCAGGTAATTGCACGAAAATATAATTGTATTATTATTTATTACATTTGTTACATCACGTGTGTCTTCACATTACAGCCCCTGGTACATATAGTCCTGAAAAAGTTAATTTGAATAAAAGTCCCCGGTATAGCTTAAGCGGAAAACTTTCTTATGACAAAGTGGACAATAATCCAGGTCTGTAGATATCAGCTTGAAATTTATACATATTTCATAGTTCGTATAAATTTTTATTAAAAATTAAAAATTTTATTAAAATATTTTATTGATTTCAATAAAATATTTTATTGAAAGACATTGGAAAGAATAAAACTGCAATTCCTCTTTAAATTAGTTTTATTATCTATTTCAAATGAAAAATTTCCTATCGAGTGAGGAAATCTTTTTACGTAAAATCAATTTTTAGCACCAGGAACTTATGCACCTGAGAAAGTAAATCTTGATAGAGCACCACAGTATAGTTTTGGAATAAGAACACTTCTTGATAAACCAAACACTAATCCAGGTATAATTTATAATCATTTTATTATTTTTGTTATTTATTGTCATTCATTAATTTAAAAAAGGATTAATTTATTGCCTTTATTATTGTTCTGTAGCACCTGGAGATTATTGTCCAGAAAAGATAAACTTGAACAAAGGTCCAGAATATAGTTTAACTGGTAAAGGACCTTCTGAGAAACAAATTGACACCCCTGGTCGGTATAATCAGTTTTCTTCTTATTTTGTATTTGCTTAATTTATTTTATTATTTAGTTACATGATAACATTTTATTTAACGTTAAATTCGTACCGAATAATTTATAATTTAATATTTCTTTCATAGCACCTGGAACGTACAATCCTGAAAAGGTAAATTTAAGCAAAGGTCCACAATATAGTTTGTATGGAAAGGGAATTCCTGAAAAACCAAACGATAATCCAGGTGAACTTAAAAAATTTTTTTATTAGATTGTAAACTGAATTTCAGTACTTTGACACAGAATTCGAACTTGACATTTATCGTTGAACTTTAGTTTATTTATTATTTAATTTATTATTCTTTTGATTAATTTAATCTTCTTGTATTTAATTTTTCCAATAGCACCAGGAACATATAGTCCTGAGAAAGTAAATTTGAACAAAGGTCCTCAGTTCAGTTTATCTGGTAAAGGATTATCAGAAAAGCCTAATGACAATCCAGGTGATTAAAGCAAAAAAATCAATTCTACTTTTTTTTACATAGAGCATAAAAAAAATATTAGCAATGAATTAATCCTAAAACAACTGTAGTAAAAAGATTTAGATGTTCTATTTATTATCATAGCACCTGGAACATACAGCCCTGAGAAAGTCAATTTAGATAAAGGGCCCCAATATAGCTTATCAGGAAAAGCTTCATCAGAAAAATCCAACGATTACCCAGGTGAATTTCGTTCAATGCAAATTCCAGGAGCTTCTTATTTTGGAAATTCAATTGGTTTAGGTTTTAACATTCTGTAGAAACAATCACTAATGTTTTGATTGCTTTAGTAGGCCCTGCTGATTACTATCCAGAGAAAGTAGTAAATTTGGAACATAAACCTTATTTCAGTTTTGGTAGTAGAAAGACCTTGGATAAGTCTGGGGATACACCAGGTAATGGTGTTGATTAACAACTTATCAATGAATTACTGCGAAGTCTAACATTTTAAAACAATTTTTGAATGAAAAATTGTTCATGCTTTTAATATTACAATTTAATCCAAAGCATGCTAAATCTTCTGTTTCTATTCTATTAAAATTCTTTTTTTCTTTATCTTAATTGCTTGCTTGTAGCTTTATAATTGCTTCATAATTTCATTTTAACACTTTGTTTTTAAAGCTGTTAGCGATTTATGAATTATGTCAAAAATTTTTTAAACTTCATGTATCATTTTAAATTTTACATTGTAAATAAACTTATCAACGAAATTTTCAATTGTAAAATTACTGAAATTGTTTTTTCAATTAAATATGTGTTGTAATATTGTGCTACACGTTGCTGTATAAACGAATATATTTTTATTTCATTTTTCTTATGAATGCATTAATATTATTCTTCTCTTTTTTTTTTTTTGTTTAATTTTATAGCTCCTGGTACTTATTCTCCAGAAAAAATAAACTTAAATAAATCGCCATGTTACTCATTTGGTTTAAAAACATCTTACGAGAAGCCTAGCGATATACCTGGTAAGCAATATTCGTAAACGCGAATAATAAAAATGTAAAATTTATAAAACCCCCGTGGTAACGCATAAAAGACATTTATTTTGATATATTAAAAATCTAGCTCCAGGAAGTTATCACCCCGAAAAGGTAAATTTGAATAAATCACCCCAATATAGTTTTGGAGTTAAGACTGAAGTACATGAAACTGATTCTATACCGGGTATGGTAATCTTTTAAAATGTATTATATATTGTACTTTGTGTATTTGTTGAATAGATTTAATATTTGCTTTAAAGGTCCAGGTGAATACAGTACAGAGAAAGCCATGCTTTTGTTGGAAAAAGCATTGCAATTTACTTTTGGTCTTAGAACAAGTACAAATAGACCAGATGATATTCCAGGTAAATTTGCTAGTTCTGATAGTTCACCTTTAAAGTAATGTTTATTACTTTTGAATGCCATATCGTCTTTTATACATGCGTAATGTAACAATATCTACAAAAGGTTTATCATTATTATTTTTTTTTTAAATCTTTACGTCAGTAAAGTTGCTTTTATTTTTGCTTTGTTTCAGCTCCAAACGTTTATAATATTCCTTCTGCTCTCGGCGGAACAAAGGAAGGAAACAAAAAGACAGCACCGGCTTACTCGATCTCGGGTAGACAGAAAATTTCTACAGATGATCGCGTTTTAATTCCTGGTCCCGGGACATATGAAACTGTTAAACCAGATGCAGTCAGAGTGAAAAGTCCTGCTTATAGCATAAGTGCCCGCTATCAGCTGCCCGATGATCACTCTCAGATTCCAGGACCTGGAGCTCATTGCCCAGAAAAAGTATTTCTAGTTTCTTCCTATTGTATTCAAAATCTAAAAAACTTAAAGATTTCAGAATTTGTTTAGTAGACTTTGTTTCATTAAATTGTATAATATTTATTTTTGAAAATATACAAGAACTAGATATTACAGATACAGATATCTGATGCTCGCGTCAGATACAGATATAATTATATTTTAATTAAGAATATTGGTATTTTTAAAAGTTTAGATATAAGAATAAGCATTCCTATTGTGAATTATTTCTCTATGTATTTGTATATTAACACGAACACAAAATCGCTGACATAATTTACATCTTACATCGATTTATCATAAAGAGATTTACAAAAAAAAAAAAAAAAATCAAAATAAGCGAAGGAAAGAAAATATTTCTATTTACTTGCAACTTGTAATTTGGATAATTCATTCGACAAAAAATACAGAATAAATGGAACGCAATTTCGGCAATTTCGGCGATTTCTATACAGCTGGAAACTTAAGAATACCGATATTCTTACATTGGTACTTTTATGAAATCCTAATTGGATTTCAAGAAACGTTCTCCGCTGAAATAGATATTAATCTTTTTATTAGCTTTTTATGGAACATCTGTACAGTGGCAAAACTACCTTTTACAGGTAGTTCTTGACATTCCTCCAGCACATTCATTTGGCATTAGACACTCTCCATACATATGCAACCTGAAGGACGTCGTTTATTAACATAAGAGCCTTACGTGACTCCGCTTTCGTCGTCGTTTTACCTTGTAAGAGTAAATCACATGCGATTGTGAAACACTAATTTTTAAATTAAAAAACAAAATTAATAATCTTTTAATTAAGTTAAGAAAGTCAACGCTTTGCTACAATGACTGCAAAATATTGTTTAATATCTAATTAAAATATTGGTGCTACTAATCGTATTTAACATATTTATATATACAAATTGTGATAATGGCATATATATGAATAATGATAATATTAATTAGATGAGATTTTTCACATAAAATTAATATCAAATAAAATGATAACAATTTCTCCTTTTAATTTCTTTTTTCACGTCTGCTATATTTAATTCTAAAAATTTATAATAAACAAAATAAATATTCTACAAATTAAAGCTATTTTTTAATGCAGTACAATTTAATTTTAAAAAACGATTTAAAAAATTTATAATAACTAATATAAAACACGAGTTAGAAATAACAATTTATTTCTTATATATTCTGTTTGACATTAAAATATCTTATATTTGAGTTGTATTTTTTAATGAAATGAAATACATATACATCTTATTTGTATTGTGCTAACTATTAGAAATAACTAGTCTTCTTGTTATTAATTTAAAGACAATAATTACAATTTTCCCTTGTAATATTTCATATTTTCATGCATATTTCATGAATATTTCACTATTATTTGAATAAAGTAAATAAAAATTAATTTTTGTTTTTATATATATCAAAATATACGTTCATAAAAATACTTGTATACAAAATATATACATACATATCTTACAATAAAATTATAGCTGGAATGATATTCACAGCCATCACTCATTATATAAGAAAAATTTAATATTTAAGGCATATAAAGTACGTTTGTAAAATTAATATAGCTTTATGGATAAACCACACTTTTCCCTGATTATTTTGTTAATGAAATTGATTCCACTATCCATTATAGTACTATACTTTACTGACAATATTCATTGTATTTGCAATTGCAGTGTACACATTCTCCCGATATCCATGTTGACAATAGTTCTAAATCTTTATTTAACATTACTATATCAGCATCTGCTCCATAATTTAAGACTCCTTTAGTTTTTTCAATACCTAGAGTAGTTGCTGGATGGAGAGTCGCAGCTTCTAAAGCTTCTACTATAGAACATCCTACAGAAAAATATATAGTTAAATAATTATATATAAATATATAGTTAAATAATTTAAATAATAGTAAATAATAATATAAATAATAATAGAACTTCTCACAAGATATTATATTATGGAATACAAAATAATAAAAAATGTTGCTTTTGTAATTACCTGTTACTTCTTTGAAATGACGGACACACTTCGACATTTCTGCTGTACTGCCACACAATGTATTTGTTCCAGCAATATATGCACGTCCCGAGCGCATTTCAATTTTAAGCTGTCCTAATTGATATACACCTTCTTGTAATCCTAGCGCTGACAGTGCATCAGTAACTAAAACAAGGCCTAAAACGCAAAATTAAATAGTAACTCAGAAACAATTAGTGGAAATAATTTTATTATAATATAAGAAAAAAATATATGAACCTTTAGGGTGAGTCCTATGAGCTATACGCAATGCTGCTGGGTGGGTATGAATTCCATCTGCAATTATGCCATAATGGATAGTTTTTCCAGGATAAACTTGATCAGATGTCAAAAGACCAACTAATCCTGGATCTCTATGGTGAAACTAGAAATACAAATTTATCATTGATCACACATGATTTTATATTTTTCATAAAATAAAAGGCAAGTTGTATATTTTCTATAATTACTGGTAACATTGCATTAAAAAGATGAGTAATGAAAGATGCTCCACTCTTCATAGCCTCTTCACCTTCTTTCAGATTTGCAACAGAATGTCCTAAAATATTTAAACTTAGGAGAGACAAATTAGTAAAACTGAAGTAACAATTATATCTTACCAAGAGAAACTGTAATATTTCTCTTACACAATTCTGTAATCACGGATTGAGCATTAGGAAGTTCGGGCGCCAATGTTACAAGACACACGTTTTCTAGACTTCCATACATGTCAGTTAATGACTTGAAACCCTGAAATACATATATTTAATAAGATAATTAAGAATATTAAAAAAATACAGAAGGTGATTAATACATGTTTAAAGTATAAAAAAAATTACACAAATAGGAATACTAATAATTTACACATATAAATATTTATTGATGCATTAAATTTTGCTTTATGTTAACATATACATGAAATATATGCATTAAAAATAGTTGGAGGACTTGCTTTTTCAAATTCTTTTATATAGCTCTCTGAATGAGCTCCTTTTTTACTTGGGCTAATAAAAGGTCCTTCTAAATGAACTCCTAATATAGTTGCACCGTGTTTTCCACCTTTTGTCTTCTTAATATTTGGTAATATTTTATGATATGTTTCACTGGGAGACGTGACCAGAGTTGGACAAAATGATGTTACACCAAATTCTAGCAATCTTTTGGCTACTTTATTAATTCCTTCCTGTACATTGTTAATATTATGTGTAAAATCTATTCCAAAACCACCTAATAAGTAAAATAACACTTACAAATTGTAATTATTATAATTATGTTACATTTTTATAGAAAATTAATCATTTATTACACATTAATATTAAACATTGTACAGATATCCTATTGCATAAAAAATATTTTATATTAATTAGTTATATTAATAGTTTTTTATTTAATGTTAAATTTTATATTTTAAAGTAAAATAATTTTATATTAAATTTTATTTTAAATATAAAAATAAAGTACACATATATAGTGTAAACCAGCATTATGATAAATGACATAAAAATTGTTATTATTATACTTGCGTTATATACCATTAATTTGAAGATCTATATATCCAGGAGAAATTAGTGCTCCGTTGCAATTGATTCTTACATGTGGTTTGATTCTTTCATCGTAGAAAATTTTTTCTGGATCAACAATCTTCCCATCGCGAACCCACAAATCTTCGTTTAAGATCATTCCATCGCGTAAAATGCAACAATTGTAAAATTGTTTTAAAATTTGTTGATCTTCTCGAGACATGTCTTAAAAATTCTTTTGCGTCAAAATATACGAGATTATCTTCATTCAGAAAAAAAAGAAAAAAAAGAAGAAAAAAAGAAATGCTTATCAATGTATTTTAGTTACTGGATTATCAGTCACAAGAAAAATTGTCATATTATAAAACTATAAAGCTTACGAAGTAGCAATGACCTGTCATTTTAATTGTCATAATTCTTCAAAGATGTCACTAAATGTAACTACAATGTATTATTCTGCAACTCAAAAAGAATGGGGAAAAAATACTTCGCAATAGTTTTCAAAAGTAAATTTTATTGAAAAAAGTAATTTAGTATATTTTAAGAATAATTTATAGCAATCCGCAATAGTATACAATAAAATATACAATAAAATATAATTACAAAAATTGTAATTATCTTTTGTCTCTTAATGCAGAAATAAACTGGGGAGATCATAAAAATTTTTTTAAATTACTATTACTTACCTGATCAAAAATTTATTTAATTTATTCTTTGAAGCACAACGCAGTATCACACGAAATTTTTGTAAAACTTATCAGAGATAAGATAACACAGATTTGATTGCTTTTGAAATACAATATAATTCAAGTTTATAACAAATTGGAATGAAAATAACTGTATAAAAAGGATGTGAAATGAATTCTAAGAACTTACAGGAAAAGAACAATCTTAAAAAGAAGATACGGAAAAAAAGAGAGAAAAGAAACAGGACAGGAAAATGGCACTACACAAGTTATCACACGGAGGAAAGAAGAAATAAAGCGTTGTCTGCTGTTTGCATTTTTTCAATTTTTGTATTAAAAATGCTTTAACAGTACCCAAAAATTTCTTCATAGATCAACGTGCGTTTTGAAAAAAATTCAACTAACTTTGTTTGTATATAAACGTAACAATAGTATAAAATGAAGCAATTAAAAAAGACAATGATTACGTAGAGCTGAGAGGGCAATTCGTTTATACTTATATGATATTAAATTTTAGGCTGTTAAGGAGCCGTTATTTTCTATTCATCGTTAACGTCGGATAAAAGGAGGGTACGCATAATTTTTTTTTGTCACCGGTATGTCGAAGAATCTAGGCTTGATCTGGAATAGGAGATATGATATGATATTAGATGATTCAGACGAAGAGGATTATGTTGGAGCCACAGGTGCAGGATATCTAGGCAGTTATCGGTCAGGTCTGCTTTGTATGTCTTTGTGTGTGTTAGTGTATCTGTGAGTGTACACGCACGAACAATTTTTTTTTTAGCAAAATTTATATGTAATTCTACTGTTGTTTACAGTCATTAGGATCAGTTCCCTGTTGTTTCCCACCTGGTGGTGCATTATTCGGAGAAGATTCCTCATCATCTTCGTCTTCTTCATCAGGGTCATCCTCATCACCCTCTTCTTCCTCGTAGTCTTCGTCTTCGTCTTCTAAGCCTTCTCCTAAAATATTTTTTTTTTTTCGTTTATAATTGTACTAATTTAAATAATTCGAGGAATTTCAATAAAGTCGGAAACAATTTTGTTAAAAAACAAAAAATATATCAAAATCGCCAAAATGTTAAAATATTTAATTTGTTAAAACAGTTACTGTTAATACCTGTATAATACAGTACAGCTCTAGGAACTATACGCTCTCTTATATAATGACCAATTTCAAAATCACTGGTTAATAAAGCTTGAGTATCATCGTCTAATTCTGCTTCAGAATCTTCTGGCACTGGAAAAAAAGTTTTACAGTTAATTAATATGTTACTTTTAACACGAAAGTAAATTATACAATAAAAATATTAGTTTTGCTTACCAACTGGTGGATTGAAAAAGTTAAAGAACGAGTCGTTCTGAACAGTTTTCGTTACAGTTCGTATGGACCCTCGAGATTTATGTTTTTGATTTTTCTTTACAGTTTTTACTGTAACATTCTTCCCTTTTTTCCAATTAATTACACAACCCTGTACATATCATCAGAATGAATATGTTGCACATTGAGCAAGTTTTTTTTTCGCATGGAAACGAAGATATAAATTTAAATTAAAAATATTTACCTTACATTTGTATATTTCGGGTCCTTCGAAACTAAATGGATCATTTTTCTCAGGGGTACATTTCATTATATACTCTTTTGTTAAAACTGAATTAGAAAAGTATTCATTTGGCTCAAAATGGAATTCAAGAACAAAACCCTACAAAAAATCTTGTTATCTTTAATACAATTCTTTCTATTTCTATTAGTTTCACATTTTTAGTTATATGTATATAGAATATTTTTGAAATTGAATGATATATACACATAAGATAGATTTACTTTGTACAGGGTGTTCCATTTAATCTATTAATGCAGTTATTTTCATAACTGTTTGTTTAAGTTTGAAAAATGTTTCAAATGCAACTTATTCAGAGCATCCTGTATATATTACGTTTTATAGTTTAATAATTTTTTCGATTTCTTCTTTAACTTACCATTGGATTAGATTCAAGAAATATTACTTTAATATCATACAAATGTTTAAGTATTGGTTCATCATGTTCCTGAACCATATCAGCTAATGTTTCAACGTTCTTAAATATTGTCAACCAGAAATCTGGGATACCTTTAATATCTTCATTTTCACTCCTAGAATAATTAAAATTCATTAGCATTTATAATATTATAATACCTATGAAAAATAATGTAAAAGAAAATAATAATTTTTAATTTTATATCCATACATCAAAATTTTTATCATATTTAATCAAAGAAACAAATCATAACAATCATACTCTTCTTTTTTTTGCTCTTTATCATCTTCAAGATTCGCTTTTGTTTTCAAATCGTTAGTTAATCCCTCTTCTTCATCATCACTTTCCCATACGCATTGCTCGTCTGTTGGTTCATAGACACCCGATACTATGTCGCTTCTTTTTTCATAAAGAGGGGCACACATTTTGTAATAAGCACATTCCAATGCATGTACTTCCTCATAGAATTTTGCTTCAATATTAGTTGTAACTAACTGCAACTGTTTCAAAGCTTTAATTCTGCGCTTCACAGGAGCTGGAAGATTCTGCATTTGCTATAAAAATTGGAAAATTTCTTTTAGATATTATATTTTTAACAAAATAATACCAAAAATATGATCAATATTGTTTAATAGTAAATTGTTTTTAATCTTACAAAACTAAATATGTAATATGTTATATAACATATATAGTTTTAATAAAAATATATAATACATTTAATATTAATAAAAATAAACAAAATTTTAATTTATTAAGATGTGAAATATATTTATATATTTTGAGAAACCAAAAGGTTCTTTTATAATTTAAACTTAATGTGTAGATAATTGAAAAAATATCACAGTCTAATCTACTGCAGTGCATAATTTATGGACTACACTAATAACTAATTAAACAAGCAACAAATTCGATAACACGTGTTATTTTGGAAAAACAACAAAAAACAAACAGGTATTATTTTGGAAAAACAAGAAAAACAAATGAATTTTCATATATAAAGGAATAAAATTATATGGACTTAGTTGAGTAAATGATATTATAGGGCAACATTCTTTCTTATTTTCTTTCAATTATCCAAATTCTTTTTTATTCAATTAATTCAAATTCCTTTTTATTCAATTAATTCAAATTTAAAGAAATATGTAAGTAACAATTATATATAAAACTATTAAAACGAATTTGCATTGTAAAATACACAGAACATT